GCTTAAGGACCTGTTATACAAGAAATCTTTCCAATCCAATTCAGTCGTAATGAGGTTTGGTTGTGCTCTACCGAATGGGAATAGGACTGTCAGAAATATCGCCAGAGCACAGCATACCTTATGTATCAGACCAGAACGGGATGTTCGTGAATTCAAGATGTCGAGGAAAGAATAGCGACAGATCTTCTTTTTCTCTTGGTTTGGTTTGAACGGCCATTCCATGAATGGCTCTCTACTACTGATGGGAAAGGGCAGGCACAACGTTCGTTCGGAGCGACATAAAGCGACACAAGTAAAGGAGGGCAAATTTCCCGGCAAAATTTCCTTATGGTCCTGGCTCCATATCCATTATGGGGAGCGTCAGTCCGGTTCCTTTCCACCGGCGAGTCGAGAATGAAATACATGGTGAACACCCTCAAGCTTCCTTCCGTCTGGCCGAAGGAACCCTGACCAGCATTGATTGCTCCTTGTCCGGAGGATTGACTGTCAGCTTGCCCTACCTATTTTCCTCTCAGAATCTATACTGACTCTGCCAGATATTCCGTATAAAGCAAGAAAAGGGCAGAGTTGTCTAGGTTGTTGAGATTATAATCTCAGTTAGTTCTTCAATTGGCTCCTGTTCTTGAGCYGTACCACTTCTTCCACACCAGTCTGTCGTCCACCACAGTGGCGATCTTTCCCTGTAGAAGCCAGTCTCTTATGAATTTCCGCCTCTTATTGGCTGTCCCTTCTGGTCTGCCTTTCTTTGTCATTGTCGTTTCTCGCCATCTGGAGCGAATCTCTGTTTCCACCMTCTTCAGCAGTGTGGCCCACATTTCCTCTCKTGGTACCTCTGTTCCCTCGATCGTYTTGGAACATCTCCTTTTCCAGATCACCCATAGCGCTAGYTTTCTGAGAAGGAGGAACCATACTTCCTTGCCACCTTTGAGATTGTTAGTGTCGTTAGATAGGAGAAGGATGTTCAGGGGGGTTGTGGCCGGGGGGGGTGACGAGAAGAGATTGATCCATAGGACGCGCACTTTGTTCCAGATCCATGCTGCTTCCRTGCAGAGTAAGAGGCAGTGAGGTMTGTCTTCCACRGTATCATTTGTGCATAGTTTACATCGATCCGTGCTGTTGGGATTTGTGTGTTTTCTTCTCTTGTGGAGCCAATCATTGGTTGGTAGAGAGACGTGTGCCAAGAGCCATTGCATGCTTCTTATCCTAGCCGGTCTAATTGTCAGGAACTTAGTCCACGGTATGGATAAGGTGGTCRAGGGATCAAGACTCAGTATTTCCTTCCATTTGGTCTCGAGTCTAGGATTAGGATCTGTGGTTTGTAGGCCCATCTCATAGCCGAATTTAATGTCGTATTCCGCTATTGTTCTAGTCCTCCCTGAGTTGCCCTGTCTCCATAGCCACTCTTTTGGGTCGAATTCTAGCTCCGAGATACACAGGTCTGGTCGGAAAATTTTCCACGGTTTGGACTTTGACACCCTCACTCTTCTCAAGCGATGGGCTGGACTTGGGAGATTAGTACGCCCCAGTCCCCGGGTTTCCAAGAAAATTCCTCTCTTAGGAGAGGAAGCCATTGTGTTGGGATGCTGTTTTGGATCAGCGCTAGATTTTCAGCGAGGGCGTGACATCCTTTTAGTGTGTTACGTAGTTCCTGTTCGGTTGCCCAGCGTCCTTGGTCTTCTACCCAAATGTGTTGGACCTGCCACACTCCTTTTTCCACCCAGGATAGCCATYTRCGATCCCGTGATCGCAGCRTCCAGGTCGTTSCACTTGGGTCAGTTATCCAGGGATTGCARAATAGAGGTTGTCTCAGTATTTCTTCTCTGTTGTCTGGTGTCCCGTGCTTACTCGGCATCATTTTTCGCCATGCTTTGATGGTGGGGCTCCAATATGTGTTGGCTGTGTGGGTGGTGACTGTGGTGGGGATCGCTGGGTTGTGCTGTGCCAGGTTTCTCCTGCGTGTTCTGCCTGGTTTGACTGTCCAGTCCTTTGCCATTAGCCAGAATAGGCCGTTCATGTTAGTTGGGGAGTTGATGGGAGCTAGATTTCTTATGCTGTCTAGCGCCATTTGGGTCCAAGGAAGGTGTTGTTTGGTGAGAATCTTGATTATCCATTTTATCTGCAGCGCTATGGATTCTTGTTTCGGGTCAATTACGCCGAGTCCCCCTTCGTGCGGTTTCCTAGTGATGTGGTTCCATGCAACCCTATTGATGCAGGTGGTCCTGTTGGGATCGCCTGTCCACAGGTAGCATCTCACCCTGTTCTTCAGCTCCTTGAGGTCGTCGTCGGGGGGGGACCAGATCGATGCCATGTACCATAGCGTAGAGAATATTGCTGTGTTGACGAGTAGTGCGCGTCCGATTAGTGAGGCCTGGGCGTTTCTGCACATGGCCAGGCGATTGATTGCTCTTGCTATTAGATTCTGGCCCATCCCTGACCACACACCTTCCTTGTTGACCATAATGCCCACGAATCATAGTGCTTGCTCACCCATGGTCCAAGTTGTGTCTATTGGTTGGGGGGGGGTATCGTCGGACAACCACCATCCTTCGGTTTTATTCCAGTTCACCCTCATTTCTGATGCTAGTCTGAAGGCTTCCATTGCCCTTACCAACACTTGGAAGGAGCTGTTATTTGCTCTAATTAGTACCGTAAAGTCGTCGGCGAACATAAGTGCAGTGGGTAAGGCAAAGTTGTGCAAGGGGTTGAAGTTCCGTTCAATGAGGCGGTCGATGGATGGATCTTTGCGGAGGAAGGAAGCTATGGCTTCCATGATAAATAGGAATATCGGAGGAGCTAGAGGGTCGCCTTGTCTGACCGAGCGTGAGATTGGGTAGGTTTCTGATAAAATCTTGTTGACCTGGACTCTTCCTGTAGCGTCTGCGTATAGCACTCTCACCCAACTTCTGAAGTTTGGGCCTACGCCCAKTTTTTCCATGCATGCATGAAGAAAGTCCCAGTTGACTTGGTCATAGGCTTTCTCGAAGTCAAAAAATAGGATCGCGGCTTTCATTCGTTTTTCCGTGATCTTTTTTGTTGCCTCGTTCAGGGTCATGACATTGTCCAATATGTACCGGCCAGGGATAAAGCCCGCTTGGTTGATGTGAAAGCAGCTGTCCGTTAGTTTAGTGATTCTGTTTGCAAGCGCTTTGGCTAGGATTTTGTATGGCGTGGTTAGTAGGGAGATCGCTCTGTAGTTCTTCAGGTCCTCTTTGTCACCCTTCTTGTAGAGCAGCGAAACCACGCTCGTACTAAGTTCCTTACCTAGGCCTCCTTTGCGCTGGCTTTCATTGAGAAAGTCTAGAAGATCCTCACCAAGGGTCGGCCAGAAGCAGCTCCAGAATTCCTTGGAGAGGCCATCGAAGCCTGGGGCTTTATCGTATCCCATCTGATTCAGAGCTGTGTGCAGTTCGGCCAGGGACAGTGGCTTGTCCAGGCCTTCCGCCTGACTCAACGAGATAGTTCTGTCGAGATATGACATCATCAGTTGGCGGGCTGTTTGGTTCGCTGGAGTTGGGGGTGGGGGTTTTGGACTCGTATAGATCTGCGTAAAAGGCTCTTGCAATCCCTACCATCTCAGGGCCTGCTGTTTTCCGGTACCCTGCCTCTGACGGGTCTTTGAGTGCCTCTATCATGTTGTTCCTAGCGTTCGTCTTGATTTTGGAGAAAAAGAACTTTGTCATTGACTTGTTCAGGGCGCAGTCTGTCATCCTTGCCCGTATTTGCAGCCCTCTGAGTTCCCATCTTCTCCAGTCGTTCAGTTCATCTTTGGTGTCATCCAGTAATTGTTGGTAAAAACTGCTGTTGGGGTCCTCCGCCAGATTTTCTTCGGCGACGGCCATTGCGAATTTGAGTTCCTCCCTTCCTTTTTTGCGGTCTCTAGCAATCGCTCTGGATTCCGCTGAGACTGTCCGTGTCAGTTCTGAGTAGCTGTCAATGAACCACTGATGGCTGTTTGTCTTCCTTGATTCTTGTTGTTTGTTGAGGGCCCAGTTCTCTTGGACTGTCTCCGTCATTCGTTCGGTTTTTAACAGCGAGTTGTTTAGTTTGAAGAAGCCTTGTCCTGTTTGGACTGGCATGTTGAAGTTTAGCAGCATCTGGATGGGCTTGTGATCTAGTCCTTTGAAGGCAGCTGATGGGAGGATTTCGGCCTCTTTGACTGTCCCGAGTAAGCTCTCAGAAATGAGGAAGAAGTCAATCCTGGATAGTGACGTAGCCTGGAAGAAAATTTGCACAGCCCATTCCTTAGTTTTGGCATAGCAAGGAAACTTTGATTGAGAAGCCCCAGGATTTTCTTTTTTTTCCAGGGGACCCAGATTTTCTCTTTTGCGGCGCACCATGTGAGCAATGCGCAGTGCGCCAATTGTGCACAACTGCCACACACACAACATGTCACAAGTATGGAACGGAGTCATAATTGCAGGCAGGTACATTCAGGAAAATCCTGGCTGTCAGCTGAAGAGGCACTTTTCACAGCCCTCTGACCCACGATGGAGTGATTTTTCTTTCCCTCTTCCCCTCCACATGGACACAGACCAGGGGCATCCATGCAGGGATTTAATGGGATACCATGCAATGAAATGCAGGGTGAGGGTGTCACGATAAAATGGTCAAGGAGGACTCAAATCCATATCTGACCTCCAGGATGAGTTGGCTGGTTCCTGATATCCATGAAGCAAGATCTTCCACTGATCCTTGAAATCCACCGGTGCCTGATGACGACACCTACACGAAATAAGATTGCACACCAAACACAGCAAGCTAATACAACGTTAACTACTACAATTAAGTACATCCATTTTTCAGTACAATCACCACAAATAAACGAAACCTGAGTTAAGCGACATCCATTTTTCAATACAATCAATGTCAATCATCACAAATCCACAGAACCTGAAGTAACTTCATGCAACTCCAATTTATCTACCACAGTACTGGAATGCACATGATCACCACCAGACTACTGAATAATATGCATTGTTCACCTGATGTTTGGGCATGAGAATCACTTTACAAGGCTAACCATCTTCACCCACATAGAACTTGAGCTTGAACAGACGAGAGACCAGTTGCCCGGTCAATTCGTGTTCTAGGTCTGGTACCATCGAGGCGAGACACGGAAGCTGCGCTTCCCAGATATCATACACTCAACATCATCAAGATAGAAGAAACACCATAGGACACCATAGACAATGGACAACCTTCCGTCCTGTCGAAATAAATATGGAACCTTCAACCTGGCCAAAGCCAGGCGTCCTGACATGAAAGCACGTAAACAGACTCTCAAAATGGCACCGGAGCACTTCGTGAAGAATGGCTGGTGATGGAGCAGAGCATCCCACTTCCCACATCCTCGTGATTTCCCCGACTAGTTTCTGTCGGCGCGAGACCGACGACGTCATCAGGGGGATCCTACACTGCAAAAGGTGAGTTCGAAAGTCTAGCTGTGTTTTATAAATACTGTTCCTACTCTTTTGCAGTGAACTTTTTGCCAGGGCGTCCCGCTGCCTACATCCTGGCGATTTCCCCTAAGGTTCTGTTTTGAAAAGACAGCTTCGTTGAGGGACATAACAAGTCAAGCATGCATCTGCCGGGCTTGATCAATATGAAAGCATTTATCTGTGATGTGTAGTATTCTGTTGGCCAGTGTTTTCACAACAATCCGTAATGGGACTGTGAGCAATGAAATGGGCCGGTAGTTTCTTAAATCTGCTTTGTCCCCCTTTTTGTAAGTAGAGAGAGAGAACGCTGGTACTCAGGAAGCTTCCTGGACCACCCTTGTGCCAGCTGTCATTGAAGAATTGGAGGGGATCTTCCCCTAGAGTGGGCCAGAAGTGGGACCAAAATTCCTTCGTTAGCCCATCGATCCCTAGTGCCTTCCCGTTCCCCATTCTCCCTAATGCTGTGTGCAGTTCCTCAAGTGTGATGGGTTTGTCAAGTTCTCTGGTCTGGTCGGCGGAAATAGTTTCCTCAAAGTAAGACAACATTTTGGTTTATGCGAAGACTACTTCACGAGGTAATGGGGATCGGCGGAAATAGTTTCCTCAAAGTAAGACAACATTTTGGTTTATGCGAAGACTACTTCACGAGGTAATGGGGATGCTGCCCTGGTTTCATAGAGTTGGGCATAAAAGGTTCTGTCGATTTTAATGGGGCCAGCTGTTTTGGCTCTGTTGGCATCCACTCCCTTAGGCTTTCCATCATGCTGTTCTTGGCATTGGATCTCATTTTGGCAAAAAGATCGTTAGACATAGATTCATTGAGGGTGTAGTCGGCCATTCTCGCCCTGATTTAGACGCCCCTGACTTCCCATCAGTGCCAGACTCCCAGTTATTTTCAGATTGCTGTATGTTGTAATAGAAGTCACTCTCTGGATTTGGGCTAGCTTGGCCTCTGCTATTCGAGTTGCCAGTTCCAGTTCTTCTCTCCTCGTTTTCTGTCCCCTCACTATCTTTTTAGACCCCCTTTGTATTACATTAGAGAGTTCCTCACTTCTTTAGAAGTGTCTTGTATTCGTTCCATTCTTCTCGTTCCTTACTTTTGGCGTTTTTGTGGTTTCTCTTCTGTTTCTTCATTTGGCTCCCCTTCACTGTGCCTCTGACATACAGGGCTCGCCACATTGTTGTGGTTAATAACTTATCCACCTGGTCCTATACCCCATCCTGAAGTAGCTAAATGAGGTAATAAAATAAGACCCTGTTCATACGTAGGTTTTTCGGGTACAAAGTGAGCTACTTCAAACAAATTCATTGCCTCGGCCCAAAAAACAATTAATCCTGCACGAGCTACATGAGCGCCCAATAATTTACCAGAAAGATTAATAAGTCTAGCATTGCCTGCCCACCAAGCAAAACCAGTAGCACGGGCTGCCCACGTCCCCGTGTGCCATAACAGCCCACTTGCACACTTTGAAACGGAGTCAGAGCAAAAGGGGAGGGGTATATTTTGTTTGCTCTCTTCGTGATGCTCATTCATATGCCCTTAGTAGTTCTGCACAGGAGGAGGGAGGAGGGAGAAAGGGAAGGAGAGCGAGATGGGAGGAAGAAGAAATACTGGGGGAAGGATGGACTTCACAAGGTTGAGTACTCATCTCAGGCCAGACTACTATGGAATGGCACAAGAGGCCACTTAGTCTTTGGGTTACAGAAAAAAAATGAAGTGAGGAGCAGGCATTTCCTACAGTAAGTGGCCAACCTGCAGACCGAAAAAGACCGGTTCGGGTGTTAGACTGTGGAAGCACAGCATTCAATTTTTGCAATTGCAGTCGCTGCATCCAACGGTGTGGGGTGTTAGACTGTGGAAGCACAGCATTCAATTTTTGCAATTGCAGTCGCTGCATCCAACGGTGTGGAGGCTATGTGGCTCCCATATGCTAGGAACACAGAGGCACGTCAACCACAATTGTATAGGCATTGTCGTCTCAGCCCCTCAAGACTCCCCCTGTCTACACATGGAAGCATTTGCAATGCCCCTCAAGACTCCCCACCCGCCTTCCTCTCCCCCATGGGACCGCATCCTGCAGCACACCTTGATATTCGCCCCTCCCCTAACACGTAGAGGAACTCGATACATTCGACAACCCCCCMCCCCCCCCCTTCCTCTTCCTCATGCAGCACACATTGATACTCGCCCTTCGTCCACCAACACGAAGGACCCCCCTCCCTCAAAGCGGCTGAAACACCCGTTAACACCCACCCTCCATTCCACATGCTTGTAAAGCAAAACCTGACACCCCTTTACACCCCTCATCCCACATCTCATGCACGCAAAGCATATCACAAAATCCCGGATGCCCTCCCTCCACTCCCCTCCCTCAATCTTACGAATGTCAATCACAACGCATAGCACACAGAATATGTTTGCCCAAGCCCTTCTTTTGCTTCATGCGATGTCACAACAGGTCATACTCAACAGGTCACACTTCCTTTTTTTCAATACATAAATTCCGCCCATGTCAACAGATAGGAGTGATGGTAAGAGCATGCACTCCTACCTGTCTTGCAGGGGGCTCCAGTCTATTGGTGGGGAGGTACACCTGCTGGAAAGTGGGTCCAGCATCCCCTCAGATACATCATTGAGTTGGTAAAACAGCACGTGCTGGGCACCGGGCCCAGCGTCCTCGTGTACTTTGTTGCTGATGCCACTAATACTAATATTCTTACAATGATGATGATGCAGATACTGATGATAATGAGCTGATGATGATGCAAGATATAAACTACATCAGCAAAACCTGGCCTCACGATACATGAGCAACTCCTAGTCTCCCCCCTTAAACCAAATACAACACTCCAAAGACATCATCCCAACCAATACCAGCCATAGCTGACGTGTTCTCGGAACTTCAATATAGTTTTTGCCACTGCACCCAGCCAGTCAGGACAAGAAGGGATTGGACATAGATGACCCAAAGAGTGTTAACAGGAAATGTTTGGAAGATTCCTTTTCTAAAACACACTAGAAATGAAAGAAGTTGAGCCAAGACACAGTCAACTCCCCTTCACAAACTCCAGCTTACCCGAGATATGGAATGTTTCAGGCTGGGACCCAGGCAGTGAATAACACGGTGCATTATATTTAGGTTGCACTTGAGGGATATTTAGGAGGCAAGAAGATTTCAAAATCTGGAAATATGGATGCATGTTCCATACAAGATTCCAGCACGGAGAGATGGGGTATTCTAGAGAGGGTATCATCAATGAGGCAATAAGAGTATACTCACACTAGACCCTCAAAATCACAGAATAGCAAAATGAAAGGGCAGATCGAGTTCTTCTTTGAGGAGGACTGGAACTGGCCGCTGATTTTGCGATTCTGGGATTTTGAGTGCCTAGTGTGAGTCTGCCCCAAGTCAATAGAAGACATATAATGTCGACCTTCCTGAAGATAAGTTTGAAAGAGTTGTTTATGCGTCCAACATCATGCAACGACCTCTGTTGCATCTGAGATCAAATGTAAAACACCATGTGCACACACACACACACACACACACACACACACACACACACACACACACACACAGAGAGAGAGAGAGAGATCTGGAGGGGGGTGGGGGGGAATAGTGGATGACAGAAGATAAAACAAATCAACTAACCTCACACAGTGAATTGGGAAACGTCAACTAGGGATTGCATTTTCTTGTAGCGGAACCATTCAAGCTGCAAAGCAAATTTTACACTGGGTAGAGAGTTTTGGCGTCATACCACAAATGTAGCGAATGGGTTTCTTTCCATGGCTCCAAGCGGTGCCCACTGAAGACTCGACGTCAGATCACCAGTGTCCTCCTGCATACATGCACCACATGCAGAGCCAAGAGGAAGTACACATCATCAGGCACCTTTCTGTGGCTTCCACACAATCACTTCCTGATCTATCCCGCAACATTCTAAACAACGCAAGGACAAGCACAAACCCAGATGACATTGGGACTCAAACCCTCTTCAGTCCAGAGGAGGTGACACAACCTCTCAGCCCATCCCTCTCTCCCCACTGACACCCAAACCTCTTTCTCACCAATCATGCCCCCATCACCTTCTCCCTTGAGTTCTGCCACTCTTGGAGATGAGTTGCCTGACCATAATCCTTCTCAATTATCACGACTGATATAGCTTCTGCAAGGAACCTGACTGTTCACAGCTTGCTGGAGTGTTACACATCGCATGCATAGATGTCTTCACACAGATGGAGAAGCTTCACACAAGCCAAGTTGAGATGAGATGAGAACCAGATAGCGCAGCTTTTATTATCAAAATCACATTATATAAAGAGTATCTCGAGTTCAAGAGTTCAGCGCCAACAGATCACAAGTCTCCTTCAATCAATCGCCAACATAGGGCCTGGCTCAACCAGCGTATGCCCCAGATCACAGGTATGGCGCCAGCAGGTAAGTATCCACCATACCAACTTAGGAACCTGTCCTCCCTCTCTCTTCTCTCTCAAGATCTCTGTTCTGAATCTCTCGTCTCATCATGCATGCGCACTCCCTACTTACGAGAATCTACTCTGAATGCTACTCACTGATATCCTACCACTAACTCTTCTACTACTAACAAAGCTGGCGCAGCTATGGCTTCAGCACTTCTCCTTCCTGGCGCGGCTTTCAAGCCAGCGCTCCTTCCCTGCACTCTAGTGCACAAGTGCCACAGCACTTCCACGCATCAATACCAATGGGAATCTGTCGTGTGGGGAGGCTGGCCTAGTCTCTTATAGTGCTGGCCTCCCTTCGCAAGGTCTGAATCAATCTTCCGCGGGTCTTTCCCCAGTCCCAGACTACTGCAGAATGTGTCCCAGTACCTTTCCCTCAGGGTCTGCTGCTGCAGCAGCCTTTGGGCCCGAATTTTGGACTCTGGGTCTGAACCTGGACTGCCTATTGGACTTTGACTTGGACTGGGACTTTACCCCATTGACTTCCATTCGAATAGACAACTCTTGCACGAACAGACATGACCTGCACAAACAGACACATCTGCTGCATGAACAGACATGACTTGCACAGCCCTCTGGATGAACAGACGTGACTCTCACAATTGATTGCTGCAACTGTTCATCCTGGGGCACGACTGTGACCTTTGACACAACTCGTCACTTCAGTTAGGATGTGACTTTTGACCCAGAGAACATGTCTTTTGATCTGCTTTTCTCGAATTGAGTTCTGGCCGAGTGGGCCCCATTATGCTGCGTTCATCATTCAGGGTTGAACGGGTAGGCCCTTTTACTTCCCCCCCCTCTCCTTGCATTCCACTCGCCTCTTTAGTTTTGGGTTTTCAAACTCTTTCTCGAACAGCCTCTGCAACAGTTCCCTGAGGTTCGTTTTCTAGAACCATATTGTCTTATCCCTGAGTGTCCCCGTTTCTACTACCTCCATTAGTGAATAGTACTGAATACACATCTTGTTTGCTGCCTATAGTTCTTCCCCGAGGTGAACCACTGCTCGCTGTGTCTACTGCTGTTAGACAGACTGTGAATTTGGAGAATGAAAAAGAGAAAGATCACAGCACACAGGTGCACACCCCTTTAAGGCCATTTCAACACCTTAACGCACCACTACCTTTCCCAGGCAACATCATGAACAAAACATGCAACATCCAGGTTCTTTGGAGGCTTGGGCCTACTAGACCCCGATGGCTGGCAGCGCCAGCCAAAAGATATAGAAAACACTGAACTGGCGCTTCAGCGAAGCTTGGTGCGCAGAGGGAATCCATGTCGGCAAAAGAAGGGTCGGAGGTGGTGGTGGTTTAAGATCCCCCCATTTATGCCCTACAGACCCCCTCCGGCGAAGAATTACTCCATTCAAAGATCCGAGCAGATTCTGAATGGTCACACCAAGTGCAGATAAGCCCAAAACCATATTTTGCCTTTTTTTTTTTTTTTTTTTACCCATTCATTCATCGGTCGGGCTCTCTGGGGGAGTGGGCTCTCGTCTGACAATGCCTGGCTTCCTGGCTGTCCAGGCCCACCCTGAGGATCCTGGGAAGCCTAGGCATTCAAAAAATTCAATTTTCTAGAAAGATACTCACTAGATTGCTACCCCTAAATGATAGTACTGGCCTCCTGTCTTCACCCGAATAGAGCGCCTGATCATCCCGGCTGCAACGGGACTGAAAGTTCCCCAAATACAGCTATAATGGCCAGGCACTCTATTTGGCCAAAGACGTTAGTCAACAAGTTGAATGATTACCTGCCCATGCCCACAGAAAACTGACAACCATGTGATAATTGTATTACTGAATCAGTGTCTGACAATGTCTGACAATAGGCAGAGTACCTAATACACTGAAAACAGTGAAAAGGGAATCGTGAAAGAGGAACAGCAACTTTAGTCGCTTTGCCATAACCATTCAACTGTTGTTTGTATGGTGTAGCCAAATAGTTGAGAAACAGATACAATTCTAAGCTCAGGCATCGAGGCCGTTCGTTGGTTGCATCATCTCATTGGAGCATATACCCAAATGAATGCATCAATTTTCATACAGACATGAAAAGCTAAACACCACTAGCTTAGTCCCATCTTTTCGGGCGGGGCGAGCAATGCCTGCATAAAAAGAAGGTAAAACATAAGACAAGTCTGACAAACTGTTCATTTACATAATTTGGGTAAGCTAACTCCCCTCTCAGAACGAAACGCGTTGCCATACCTACACATCTGTATCTACTCATATTTCTCTCTCTCTCAGAGGGGGCCATTGTTCTTTTGTTTTTATGTTCTTTTAAGGGGGTAATAGCTCCTAGCATTATTTTGAGCAGAACTTGAATGCCAATATTGCCTTTTACGCCCGCAGTGGGCAGTGAACACCCATGCTCGCCCATCTTCACATCGGCCTTCGTGGCTTCTCCCAAATCCGTCCCTAGCAACATGACAAAGGGCAGACTATCCTCGACTAGAAGGGTCTCACACTTCTTACTCTTCTTGTCATCATCGTCATCACCATCGCCATCAGGGGGACCACCACTTCCACCAGCTCCTTTCTTAAACACACAAGTCTCGTCGATATACCGTTCTACCCCCATGAGGACCTGGGTCACCTTGTCGTTGACTGTGTGGAGTGTGGTGGCTTCGTGTGGCGGTGGTAAAGTTGTTCCACTTACCTCAGAACTCGTTGTGTTGTGCAGCTAATCGGTCAACGGCGGTGCAAAGTGCTGCGGTTTCTCGGGCTGCCTGGAACGCAGCTTCGGTCAACAGTCCAATTTGGTCTTTCACTTCTTGCTCCTCCTCTCCCTTTGCCTGTTTCTCCAACTTCGCGGCTATGGATGCCCCATCATCTACCAGTTTCTTCCTCACTGCTGCCTCCTTCCTTTTCTGCTGGATGTCCTTCTGCGTGGCCTCCATGCAGGCCTCTACCTCAGCCATCTGCGCATCTTCCCCGTCCAGCACTTGCAAGTCTTTCTCATAGTGAGCTACTTCCCCCTGCAGCTCTTCCAACGTGACTCCCAGGCAGGTAGAACCCTCTCGCCCATTCTTGCTCCTCATGTCTACACCCTGGGCGAAGCTCACTGGTCCGTCCTGGGTCCTTCGGGACCGTTATCAGGATTTCCCCCCTTCTTGGTCTTTCCAACTTCTCCTCCTCCTTCCTCTTCTTCAACTTCTTCCTCTACTTAAACTTCTCCAATTTCCTCTTCTCCTCCAATCTCTTCTTCTCTTTCTCCTTCTCCTCTTCTCTTTTCCTCTTTTTTCTTTGTCCTCCTTTCTCTGCTTTAAAATCTCCTCTATCCTCTGCTCATCCTCTGCGGTCAACGAGTGGGTCACAATTCCGGACTGGCCACCATGGTGATTGTAAGGCACAGCAAAGGTAAGTCAAGTCCGCACCACATAGACCTATCCCTCAACTCTTCACACCTCAACACTTAATGCCTGGTCTACTTCCCTTCCTCCTGTCTTGTAGACACCCTCGTCCACAATTCGATCTATGTCATATCTTCCTTCCATGTCAGGAGCGATCATTGAACGCAGAAGGGAAACGATCGTTAATGACGTAGGGCAGTAACTTGGATGCGTGAAACACTGGGTACGTGTGTCAACAGTATAGTACGGACCGTCTGCGTCTCCTGTAACATCATAAATCTCCCACGGTCCTGGGTATGTTGGTAGTAACTTCTGAGAAATGTTCTCTTCCGGGAGGAATCCTTTAGACTTAACTCAGACAAGGTCACCTCCAACGAACTTAGATGATCTATTACACAGTTGAAGGAAGTCGAGGAAGAAGTTGAAGAAGATGACGAAGAAGACAAAAAGGAGGAGAAGATTGAAAGACCAAGGAGGGCAATCTTAATAACGGTTCCGAAGGACCTGGGACAGACCACTGAGCTCCGCCCAAGTACACGAGAGCATTCTACCTGCCTGGGAGTCGGCATTTGAAGAGCTGCAGGGGGAAGTAGCTCACTATGAGAAAGACTCTGGACGCGGAAGATGGGCAGATGGCCAAGGTAGAGGCCCGCATGGAGGCCATGCAAAAGGCCATCCAACAAAAAAGGAAGGTGGCAGCAGCGTGGAAGAAATTGCTAGATGATGGGGCGGCCATAGCCGCGAAGTTGGAGAAGCAAGCAAAGGCAGAGGAGGAGCAAGAAGTGAAAGACCAAATTGGACTGTTGACCAAGCTACGCTCCAGGCCACCCGAGAAACCGCAACACTACGCACCGCTGCTGACCGATTAGCTGCGCGCAGCAAGTAAAGGGAGAGGAGGAGCAAGAAGTGAAAGACCAAATTGCACTGATGACCGAAGCTGCGCTCCAGGGCCGCCCGAGAAACCGCTGTCGTACCAAATACCCTTACAAGGGTATTTGGCGTGCT